ACTGTTTTCCACGAGAACTTTCAGATGCATCTAAATGGGGTTTATTTGCTAGGGAAGAACAGTTTGCAGGCTCAGCACTGTACAGGCGCACTTTAGATTTTGCATTGATGGTTGAGATAGTGGATGCTGCTGTTATAATTATGTTCTGTTCTCAAAACATACCGGGCTCCTTGCAGTTTTATAGAATTTTTGCATCCTTTTTTCCTTATTCATGCCTTTTGCTTAAAAAAAAAAAAGTGGTTGGTTTTGATAGGTTTTTTTATTAATGACGTGAGAGCTCCAATTTTGTTCTGGTTGTTGGTTTTTTTTTTTTTAATCAAAAAGACTGGTTTCCTCTGGTCCCTGCAGAAAATTGCATCATTTTCCATTACACCCCTTTTGCAGCTGGCAAACGCACTGAGGACCGTGGGTCACGCCTCTCGTTTCAGAGGCCGGCTCGGTTCACGTGCTTATTAAGATTCATTTATTTATAAATCTAACAAGCAACTCTTTGACTAGCAGGTATTTTGATTAAAGCCATTAAATGAGAGGGCATTAAATCATGATCCTGGATCAGGTGAGGTTTCCATTCCGGAACAGTCTTCTCTCTGTGCCCAGCCCCGTTAACACGCTGTTTAATTGCCTCCTGCAGATCATACCCGAGCCTGGACCCCCCGGATTACCCGGCCCTATGGTAGGACTCCGGAAAGCAGCTTGTGCAATTGAGCATTGCTGCAGATTCATTTGGCAGAGTCATTAGTTAAGGACGAGGGTGGTTTGCTCTGTTTAATTGTTGTGAGCTGCTGTGAATCTGGGGGAAAAAAAAAATCAGGGAAGAGCTACAGCATTGGGTGCTGTCTTGGGAGAGATGGAAGCACCTGATTTAGGAGAGGGTATCAGCGTTTGTGGCACGTTTTGTAAATACCCAAGTTGTTTCTTGGGATGCGAAAACAGTAAAACCTTACGGGATGGGAAAACCTGTTCCCCCCATGATGGTGTGCGTATTCCCCCAAATTTGCCGAAGTCGGTAAGGTATTCTTGCCATCAGCTGCAGTGGGGGAGGAAGCGGGTGGTGACGAACAGCCGAGTGTTTCTAACGCACATGTCTGAGGTGTTTGGTACCTACAGTGCTCCAAAATGCTGAGGAGCTGTCAAGGGCATCAGGAAGGTCAGGATGCCTCTGCTGTGTCCAAGATGCCCCTTGGGAGACCGTGCTTCAAATCCAGGCAGCTTTTCACAGAATCAGAGAATGGCAGGGGTTGGAAGGGACCTCTGTGGGTCATCTAGTCCAACCCCCCTGCTGAAGCAGGGTCACCCAGAGCAGGCTGCACAGGACCTTGTCCCGGCGGGGCTGGGAAATACCCAG